CGTTATTGTTGACTTTTATTAGACGGGTGGGACCCAATAACGGCCATATTTTCAATTTTAATTGAATTTTAATCACTCCCGAACAGGGCCTAATTTTGAAATGGTGATACTTAAATACCTTATTTATGTATTGTTCCCATTCATAGTTTCGTATGATAAGTCCAGGCCCAATCACTAAAATTGTCTTGGCCTCCGTTTGATACCCATTCTCACATCCTAAAAATGCATATTCATGTCACATCAATGGGTCCACTGCAGTGTTTTTATTTTTTTTGGTCAAATGAATTGTGTGGAATATGACATCTATGCCTTCATATCATGTAATTCAAAATGTTGCCAAAATTACCATAAAAAACGTGGAGGTGTAGAATGGAGAAATGTGTGCTTATATTGTCAAATTGTTCATAGTTTTTTGTCAGAGAAGTCACTGCTCCAACGTTCATTTTTTTTTTCTACAAATGAGGTAAAAATGTGCACCAAACAGGGGCTTGGATAAAACATTATGATGAAACATTTGGCATCTGAAGAATCTGTAGGAATGAGTAATTTGGGAGGACAGTAATGCGATGATCTTGGAAGTAAGGCCTTAATTTTTGCCGTGACAAATACAAGAGCTAACTATTTTGCCAATGTATGCTCGATTTTTTTACGTCAAGGGGGACCTTGCTTATGCGCACTATTGCTTTCTTACATCTTTCACTAGCATTGCACTGACTACATGATTTGACATGGTAAGATAAAGGAAGAGCATATTATCGGGCTCGATCTTGACAAGAATGACAGTGTTGCAATGTATGTTTTTAGCTCTCGGAAAGCATTCTCCCACTCTTCAACCTAAGTAAAGTTCTTGTTACATTTAAGTATTTGGAGAAACTATGGCACTTATCTATTGAGCGTAACATGAACCAATTAAGTGCTGATATTTGACATGTCAGACTTTTAACCTCTTTCGTGTTTTTAGGTGATTCCATGGTGATAATAGCTTTGATATTATTAGAATTAGTCTCAATACAAAATACAAACAAATGATTGAATCATGCTTCACGTACAGAAGCACGGTTTCCAGAAGAAAACCAGATACACACAACGCAAGGAGTGGGTTTTTTTTTCATTTTTTATTCCAGTGGACCCTACACATATGAGTAGGTGTAAAACTTCTGTTAAAAAAAAATTCTGTACATATGGTTTGATTCAGCTCATCTTGCTTTTAACCCGACATCTAAAGTACACGACAAATTGACATAGTTCTAATGCATAAAAATGATTTACATAATTTCAAGAAACAATGCATTTTTCTTAGGTTATTTGAAACATTTAATTTTATTTATTAACATTTTTTTAATTGAAAAATAGATATTTAAAAATTATTTTTGAATAGGCATACTAAATATTAGGGAAAAAAAATGTTATAACTTGAAAAAGATATAATATCATGAAAACCCAAAAATAAAGAATCCCTCTGATTTTATGTTAAAAATTATTATATATACATAAATCTGGACAAAACTTGAATAATTAACCGTTTTCAAGTTCCCTTTTACAAGAAGAAAAAGATTTTTCTACTGTAAGTAATTACTAATATTCTTTATGCCGTAAAACTGAAACTTTGGAATTTTTATTTTTATATTGGAAAACAAACACGTGCTTTAACTTTATTTGACTGACCAATCCAAAAGAAAAGATCTTTATTTGATTATTCACTTTATAAAGAGTCCATCTAAAATCACACAAAATGAATCCAAGCATAAATATACATACATATAATGTATATATCTTTCTTTCTCCAACCCAGCATTCTTGACTATACACAAAATACAGGGAGAGTACCAAAATCTTGTGCAAGGCCAATTCTTTTTCTTTTTTCCATTCCAGCTGCAGTATACCTTCGCAAAATCTACTACCATGAAGAAAGGAAATACTGAAGTAGGATTTTGTACATTATTCATCTGCCTGCCTGCACTGAATACACGTTTATGATTAAATAAAGTATAAATGAGGAGCTCAAAGGACTAGCAATTTTTGTATACTAAACAAGCTTGTCACTTTCTCCATCACCTTAAAAGTATAGGTGAAGCGGCGCATAAATTTTAGCGTCATGCATTAAAAGGGCATTGTCAAATCTCAATTATGTTTATAACCAACGGCAACATATACTTACTGACCGTTGCGATAGACCATTTTAGTAATAAATGAATGTTTCATTCTACATGTTGCAAAAGGTCACTTTTCTTAGTGTTCAGAAATGATTGAACAAAGTATGAGTTTACAGAAATGATTTCAAGCTTCGTTACCACCCATTTATCGAATTCAGGCATTGCATGATTGTAAGGGGTGGGGCAAAAGAAGTGATAATGTTCACATGATATTGCTGCATTTAGAAATTAGGCTGATTTCTGCAACACAGTTAGACAAAGCATCCAACTTATATGTATTTTACTTTGCCATCAAGAAGCATTGTATGATATTTATTATCTGTTAAAATGGATGAAAATTTTGAATCAAGTTCAGGCACATACGAATATGCATTTTTTAACCTTTACCGTTCAGTGCGACCAGCTTATTTTTCCTGGCATGTGATGAACTGGGAATCATGGCCGAATGCCCCAAGCAGTCCGCATGCTACTTCAAGAAATTTCCCTGCATAGTAAGAGCTACATGAGTTCATTATGCATACATGTGAGTCAACCCTTATCTAAAAAAAGAAAAAGAAAATGCCATAACTTCTGTCGGTTCATCAAAACTCAAAAGCATTGGCCTAAAATAAAATAAGCCGAACAGATCTTGTGAAAAAAGTTGACTATTATCCGTCGTGTATGTAATGAAAAGATGTCAAAAATAAGCATAACTAAGTAAACTTCCTTGAATCATTCATCACAGTGTAGACAGTCGATTGGATGGTTGTCCAACAGCCACAGTTGTGAAAGATTTTAGCTTGAGATCTAGTAGTTATTTATATCCAACTTGTTCTGAAAAACGTTGTTTCTGACTCAATTTTTGGATCTAATAATGGGACAAGAACCAATCACCAAAGAATTATTGCAGGCATGTAAAATCTATATAAAATTATGTACAATAAAAAGATAATATCATTAAAGAAATTGCATCATACCCTACTTGTGTAGTCAACATATGCAGTGATGGTATAACGAATAAATACAATGGTAGACATGCACGTCGGTAAGAGAATACGACAGTTTGAGAGATACTAATGTTTGTGATTTGGTTGGACAATAAGATTCCGGGACCAATTCCTTATTGTTTATGGTGGTTGGTTCCATCCTTTTGTGTTCAATTCTATATTTGGAGTACCATTTTCTCTATTGTAAACAATTCACATTCACTCATACCAAAGAGAGACACTCTAAACCAACACTTGGAACATTAGCAGGTGCGCGGGAAGGGTAGAGGTGAGGAAGAAAACAACAAGGGGAATGTAAACGTAGTTTTTTACAAGGTTAAATTAAATTTGCTGCATAAAGACATTTTAAACGTTAAAAAGAAAATATAAAAATTTCTACTTTTTTCCCAACATTAGACGGTTCGCCGGCTTGTGAGAGCCTAGTCCATGGATGGTTGGGGTTGGGGCCCATATTCAAACAAATCTAGGGCTGAGCCGAGCTCAATTTTCAGCTTGATGCCCGAACTGAGCCTGGCCCTGGGGCCTATTTTGACTCACGCATTTCAAGATATTCACAAGAATTAGTCACTTAGTCATCACTCATTTCTATTTATTATAATTTAAATAGTATTTAAACACTTTTCATACACAGATAAAACAATATTTTCAGTCCTATATTTCTATGATTTACCGTGAGGGTATCAAGATGTTTGTCACATAGCATGCAATACCTGACATAACTTGATGTTATAGTCTACAAATATTTTCTTTCAATTTTTCAGTAGTTATTCTTATTTTTAATTTTTTTTTTCCTTATACATCCTAACAAAAGAATCAGGTGAATGAGGTGATGCAGCAATAAACACTAAAGCACGTATGGACAATTTTGCCCTTACCCACCGACACCGACAAACTTCACAAAACCCATCCCATCACCGCTTCACCGCGCCACCACTACCATCTTCCGGCCGCCCTTAGCTCCGCCACCCAAAAGACTTGAAAAAATAATCATAGAAAGTTTAACATACCTCTTCTTGGTTTGTTCAAATTCTTAACATTTTGATTAGCAGTTTTCACTTCCTTCTTTTCCTCCGGTGGAATCAACACCCCATCAATCCCCTGTACTGAAATTCGCCCATCTGTGTAAATATCTGGATCAAACAAGTAAGCTGCATCCTCTCCATCGCCGAATTTCACCGATCCATCAGCTTCTTTAGCCAAAATCTTGTGTGGGACATGCAATGTATCATATGCCACCTTCCCGAATCTCCTCACGGCATTGTACATGCTCTCTTCTGTCTGATACTCCGGTACAATGTGATAATAAACTATCTGTTCAGGAGCACCGGGTTCGCTCAATTGTTCAGTAGTGAGTTTCGCCATGGCCTCGTCATTTGGAGCTAAAACTGTTAAAACATAGCCTTCGCTGATTAATTTCCCCATTTCTGTAGCAAGATTTGTTAAATTAACCAAAATGTCGGCCATTTCATTATACCCGCCGTAGTGGAGGAGTGTCTGAATGAAGTCCTTCACCTGTCTCTCGCCGTCGAAATGGTGATGGGGCCCACCTGGACCAGGGGCCGGAGCCGGAGCCAAGGATGGTGCCGGTGCCATGGCCTCGTATATCGATAATTTGGAGGGTGCATGAGCATCGATTGGTACTGAATTTGACTTTTTCTTTGACAACATTTTGTGGGTTCTTGGATCAATTTCTGGTGCTCCTTCTGGTTTAACGGCAGAAATTGATCTCAGGCTGCGCCTGTTATTGAATGAGTGCTCAACGGACTTTGGGATTATTACCTTTTCAATGCCATGAATGATTCCATCAGGACGAACAATGGAGTCAGGATATACAACCTTCACAGCACCTACATATTTATTAGTACTCCGAGAATGATTTGAACTGAAACTACATGAAAATTCTATACGGTCGTTAGAGAGAGCGGGGTGCCGAGTTGGCTCGGTGGGTTCTGTTGGCCAATCTCCCAGAGTGAGCTTAGCGGGGAGGATGTGATGGAGGATGAGGGTCTGAAGCGACTTGATATTGCCTGGTTCGAGGAGGAACCGCTTGAATTCTGGGTCGAGATCGCGCTCCAGGGCTTCATTTTTGGGGGCAAAAATAGTGAGATTATAGTTGTACACTGCTTGTTCTAGTGTTGGTAAAAGAAGGGCCTTCTCCACGAGCTCGGCGAGTTCGGTGTAGCGGGAGTCCAAGAGGGCAACAAGGACAGAGTTGGAGTTGATTTGACGCGGCTGTTCCGGCAATGTGGAACCGAGTTCAATCCTACCGGAGAAAAGGAGAAAGAAAATAAGTAATAAGTTGTTTGCCATTGAATTGAGTCGGAGTTAAGAGGTAGGTCGCTTTTATTTGCTTAGAAGGTTAGCCAACTGTGTGGTGTGTCAGCATGTGTGTTTTGATTGTGTGTGTGTTTGTGTTATTTTATTTTTTTATTTTATTTTTTGGTGTTGCACTTCAAATTCTCGACTTCTTCTTTTGTTTTTTCTTCTTTTTCTTTTTATTGTGAATGTTCTTTTGCTTTTTCTTGGAGTCTTGAGTTCATTGGATTACGTCATATAGGATATTAAGCGAGACAAATCAAGCGGTTCAATTCACCTACCGCCAGCTTGACTCAGCTTGTCAGGCATAACGGCTCGCACTCATCTATGGGGCTAATCTAGCACGAGCTGGCTCACTCAATCAAAATGTAGCTCGGCTCATCCCACAAGCTCGTTCATTAATAATACCCCAAGTCGCTTGTAGGGTAAAGTTGGTTGAGTGAATTTTCGGTTATCTGAAAATGTGGAATTTGATTCAGGCAATAGCTCAATCGAGAATATCTGAAAAGATATCTGTAAATAAAGATAAATATGTGGTAGATAAGTGGATATTACTCGTAAGTCACGTGAAATATGTGGATAAAAAATGCTTTGATAAAAAAAAATGTATTTATAAACACCTAAAAACAATAAGTCAAAAACACGCTCAATATATTGAGTTAGATTGTTTATAATTATACAATAGACGTTTTTTAGTTCTTTTTTGATAATAATACGTCCATGGTCCATTTTAACAGATGAGACATATAGATATGTGTGGTATTGAACAACAGTCAAATGGATTAATCAACTATTAGAATTCTTATGCTTGAATTTCGGAGTCCTTAGAATTTATGGGTGTTGGATTTTGTTAGGGTACTGTTGCAAGGTATGAGACCTGAACTCAACATAAAAAAAACACGAGCTTTCAGTGTAAAACTTATATGGATTTGGACTTTCCAATATGAACATCTAACTTTTAGGGCCTGCTTGGGAGTTTCAAGTTACCGATTAGCGTTTTTTAAAAGGGAAGATTACATATTCAAGAGAATAAGTTTAGCTTATTTCAAAATGACAGAGTTGGAGTTGATTTGACGCAGCTGTTCCGGCAATGTGGAACCGAGTTCAATCCTACCGGAGAAGAGGAGAAAGAAAATAAATAATAAGTTGTTTGCCATTGAATTGAGTCGGAGTTAGAGGTAGGTCGCTTTTATTTGCTTAGAAGGCTAGCCAACTGTGTGGTGTGTCAGCATGTGTGTTTTGAGTGTGTGTTTTATTTTTTATTTTTATTTTTATTTTTATTTTTTTGGTGTTGCACTTCAAATTCTCGACTTCTTCTTTTGTTTTTTCTTCTCTCTTTTTCTTCTTTTTATTGTGAATGTTCCTTTGCTTTTTCTTGGAGTCTTGAGTTCATTAGGATTATACATCATAAAGGATATTAAGCGAGGCAAGTCAAGGAGTTCAATTCACCCGTCGTCGAGCTTGACTCAGCTTGTCAGGCATAACGGCTCGGACTCATTTATGGTGCTAATCTAGCACGAGCTGGCTCACTCGATCAAAATGTAGCTCGACTCGTCCTACAAGCTCGTTCATTAATAATACCCCAAGTCGCATGCAGGGTAAAGTTGGTTGAGTGAATTTTCAATTATCTAAAAATGTGGCATTCGATTCAGGCAATAGCTCAATCTAGAGGTGTCAATGGCTCAAGCTGAACTCGGCCCATACCCACACGAGCTAGTGGCTCGTTGCCAACAAGCTCGGCTCGTTGGTTTTTGGGCGAGCTCGCCCAAAACGAGCCGCTCGGCTCGCCGGCTTGTCATTTTAACTTTTTTTTAAAACACTATTATAACTAATTAACTAAATCTTAAATTCAAAAAATATATATATACACATTTTCTATTTTTTAAAAAAATATACACTTTCCAAAATATTTATAATTTTTAAAATAATAAATATACATTTTTTAAAACATTTTTATTT